CCTTGCCTTCACTCCATACGACCAACACCCCATACTCCCCTACCAAACCCTGCAACATTTTGCTGGGAAGTTCTTGGACTTGGCTGGGATATAGCTCACCTGTGAATCTCACGTTAGTTGAATAGTTCACTCTCCCGCTGTGGGTGCGGTACAGAGCGGAGATATGGTCTTTTGTCATGATCCCCAAGCCAGGGAGATCACATCCAACAGAAATGCACCCTCAGTTTCTTGCCCAACAACAGGAGGGAGACCGGCTTTTCAGAACACCCATTGGGGTTCAAAAGTTCCTGCCTGTGACTTGAGGTTCTGCCTTAATGCAGTGAAGTGTACGTTTCCACTCCTTTACGAGCTTCTGACTTGTATACATTGAAAGCGAAGGGTCAGTGACCCAGATTTGAGGCAATGAGTTGAAGGTTTAGGGGGGAGACGAAGGAAGATTTTTTTTTTCCACCCAGATGGCAGTAAGGGTCTGGAACACAGTCTGAAAGGGGAGTAGAGGCAGAAACCCTCTACTTATTGAGAAGGTGTCAGGAGCTGAGCCTTAGGTACCATTCCCTGCAGGGCTGTGGACGAAATGAGATTACTCGGGGTGCCTCGAATTTTCAGTTGCAGATTCAACTGACCAGTGGCACCTCTCCATACTGTAAATTTACTATCCAAACCAATCTCAAAATATTAAATGTTAAAACATCCTTTTGTTCATCACAACGTAGAATTCCTATACTGTCCTATCAAATACACCCAGAACAGGTACAGCACAGGGTTGGATACAGAGTAAAGCTCCCTCTACTCCTTTAAATTGAAACTCAAGCAACCTCCGCACTGTCCCCAAACATTACCAGGAAGGGACAGTGATGTCTCTGCTCTTTTAATCTGAAAGTAAACAAAGTAAGGCTCGCTGTACACTGACTCTATCAAATTCTCCCAGGACAGGGACAGCGCTGGGTTAGATAACAGAGTAAAGCTTAGTCTACTCTTAAACTAAAAAGATCACCCAACTCTTTTAAACTGAAAGTAAAGCTACCTCTACAGTGTCCGTACCAAATACTCTCGGTACTGGGACACTGTGGGATTAGATATGGAGCAAAGCTCCCTCCACATTGTCCCCAAACACTTCCAGGACAGAGACAGCACAGGATTGAACAGAGTTCATGAAACTGACAGGATCACTGTCCCTTTCTGACCATAATGCCTAACTATTGAAGTAAAGAGAGCCGATTTGTGCAGGAAACCATGATGGGGAGTTCAGAGTTTAATTGCTATCAAGGCAAACCTCAGAAGTCAGATTGGAGTTTGTGGGAATTCTTTTGTTGGGCAGAATTTTTCCTGCGGCTTCCATGTTTCACTTGCTTTAAAAAGGTTTTGCAATATGCTTTTGGCCAAGGTGTTCTAGTGCAGTTACAACACTGGTGTTTACCCCATGTGGAAAATTGACCAGGTACGTCCTGCACACACAAAGCAAGACAAATCCAACCCAACCAATTTCTACCCCATCAGTCTAATCTCGATCATTGGTAAAGTGTTGGAAGGTGTCATCAACAGTGCCATCGAGCAGCACCTGCTCAGCAATAACCTGTTTAGTTTGGGTTCCACTACGGCCACTCAGTTCCTGCCCTCATTGCAGCTTTGGTTCAAACATGGATAAAAGAGCTGAATTCCAGAGGTAAGTTGAGAGTGACAGCCCCTTACACCAGTGTCACACTCGAACAAGTGTGGCGTCAAGGAGCCCCAGCAACAGTGGAGTTAAAGGGAATCAGGGGAAACATTCTCCATTTGTTAGAGTCATACTTGAGACAAAGGAAGATGATTTTGGTGGTGGAGTTCAGCCATTTCAGCACAAGTTCCTCAGCGTACTGCCCTCGACCCAACCATCTTCAGATGCTTCAATGACCTTTCCTCCATCATCGGGTCAGAAGTAGTATATTTCCCTATGATTGCACAACGTTCAGCGCCATTTACAACTCAGATTTTGAGGAGTCCATATTTGAATGCAACAAGACCTGGACAGTATCCAGGTTTGGGTTGACAAGTGGCAAGAAACATTCACACCACACTGCTGCCAAGCAATGACAATCTCCAAAAAGAGCATCTAATCATTTATATTCAATGGCATGACCACGAAATTCCCCACTATCAACACCTTGGAGCTTACCAAAGACTGAACTGTCTACCATCTACAGGGCACAAGTCAGGAATGTGACTCTCCACATGCCTAGATGGGTACAACTCTGACAACACTCAAAAATCTCTACCATCCAGGACAAAGCAGCCTCTATATTGGCACCCAATCCACAACTTTCAATGTTCACTCTATCCAGTGCTCAGTAGCAGCAGTGTGTCCTATCTACAAGATGCACTGCAGAGTCTCTTGAGACAGTGCCCCTGGGTTTGGAAAGTGCTATCTTCTTGAAGGACAGGGCAGCAGGGGAACAAGACCCCCTGCGAGTTTCTCTTACAGCCCCACACCATCCTTTTCTGGACATATATTACTGTTTTCTTAGTGTCACTGGGTCAAAATGCTGGAACTCTGTTCCTCACAGCATTGTCGATCTACCTCCGAATAGAATGTACCATTAAAAGACAGCAGCCCTCACAACACCAGGGACCTGGGTTTGATTGGAGTTTGCACATTCTCCCCGGTGTCTGCATGGGTTTACTCCGGGTGCTCCAGTTTCCTCCCACAGTCCAAAGATGTGCGGGTTTGGTTGATTGGCTGTGCTAAATTGCCCTATAGTGTCCAGGGATGTGCAGGCTAGGTGGGTTAGCCACAGGAAATGTAGGGTTACAGGGATAGGGTAGGGTTGGGTCTGGGTGGGATGCTCTTCAGAGAGGCAGTGTTGACTTAATGGGCCAAATAGCCTGGTTCCCCACTCTAGGGTTTCTACGATTCTGTGAGCACCTAGGGGCAGCTAAATGGTAGTGGTTGTGGATTTGGAAGGTGCAGTGGAAGATATTGTAACACAGAAGAATACTGATTAAATGGTGTTGTTGGGGGCGGGTGGTCATGATAGTTCCTGATCAGAATTAAGGAGTGAACGTGGAATTAAGGAGTGAAAGTGCAGTAGAAAACTGGAGTTTGGGGGGTGGGTGGTGTGACGGGTAAGAGGGGATTATACAGAGTGGGATAGACCCATCGTCTAATCAACATCCAGTTAGCTAGGTTACTACTTAAAACGTGGCTTGCTGAGAGAATTCAGAAACCCTCGCAGAAACTATGAGCCATCCCAGGCTAAGAAACTGCAGCATTTTCACTTACAAAGGATTATACCTCCATTCATCAGAGATCAGTTTAAGTAAAATTTTTAAAAAATCTTTTACTCATACACAGGAGACCATGTAAACAATAAAGATGTAATTTAATTATCAACATCACAGTAATATTTTTGCAGGAATTGTCTGATCATCAGCAGTTCTATCTAATCCTAACACGCACAGAATTCCAAGCACTCAGTTATACTCACACTTCCCCCTTTCAGTTTGCTCCCCCAAAAACACAATTGGCTCCCAAAGAAAATCCCCAGCTTTATGGAAATACTACACAAACGTTAAAACGTCAGGCCTCAACTGCCCAGTCCTGGGAGGGGTGGGGGTGGGAAGATAGAGGATGGAGGGAGGGAGGATATAACTGCAGTTACAATGTTATCCCAGGCTGCGTGTAGCTACAGCAACGTCCTGACACCCTTGTGTGAACTCATGAAGGGCTTTAGCTAAGAGACAGGGTGCTAACCCCATCCTTGGGCAGTTGTGTGGATAAACCAAAGCTCAGCAAAGAACGCTAAAGCTCTCAATGATGGGCTATAGATTTGGCAAAAGCAGTGGCCAAACACCTTGACTCGCAATTTACATACACCCCCCCGCCCCCCCCATCACTCAGAGGCCAATCTCACCTATTCACCTGGTCAAAAGCTGAATCCTGATGTGGAAGTGGATTAAATCAGAGTTTTGGGCCAATGGGGTTGTTACGCGTTTGTGACGTGTGCCCTGGTGAAGCACAGTAAGGGAGGGAAGTGAATCATAAACTGCAAAGTGAAGCAATTAAAAGTAAAGCCAACCAGTTAAATGTCTGGGAGCTTGTTTAAGTGTAATCAAAGCAATGGGAATTCTTTTTTTGAAATGTAGCAGGTTCTACTGTGTCTAAGCTTAGTCCAGCACTACAGCGCAGTGTCCTCTTCAAACAAGACTCAAAGTTGGGGGG